TTTTCTAGTAGAAATTTTTTTTTTTTAATTAACTTTTTTTTTTTTTTTAATTAATTTTATTTTAATTTACAAGCATGTATACCATTCAAGATTAAAAAAAATATCAACTGATTAATTTCATAATGATAATAATAATAAATATTATTACTGATAACTTTTTTTATCAATTTATATATTATAAAAAAAGAATCACTTAATTAAAAAAAAATAAATCTAGTGAAAAGTAATTAATTAAATACCACAGTTGTGTGAAAAAAAAATTACACCAATATTATTGGCATCATTCCTATAATATTATGGGAATGGTTCCCATAATACTATAGGAATGGTTCCTATAATATTATGGAAACTATTCCTATATATTATAGGAACCATTCCTATATATTATGAGAATCATGCCGATATTACAGTTATAATTATAGATATTGTTCCTATAATTGTAGGAACCATTCCCATAATTATAGTAACGTTTCCCAAAAATTATGGGTCTAATTTCCATAATTTAAGTAATCGCTCCTAAAATGGTATAGGAAATTATTTCATTAAAATTATAGGAATGATTTCCACATTTTTCTCTCCGTGTAGATTTTTTTAATTTTTAAAATCAATTATTTTTTGCGCCACTCTATTGATCAATGATTATTTTTTGGTAATTGAAGCACAAAATATTTCAATAAAAAATAATAAAATAAAGAAGATATTCACAAACATAAAATATTTTCTCCATAATAGCTTAAATAATAAAAATTTGCACTGTTATGGCAGTTTTATGTATATTCGTTGGATTTTCTTTGATATATCCCCTCTCAGTATCCCACTAAAGCAGCATCCACCAGCATTACTCTATAATACAGAGTACAACCGAGAAATATTATTTAAATTAAACGAGACTAAACTAAGCGAACGAAGAGCATCGAAGTGGGAATGTAGAATAAGAGCTAGTGGGCTGGGGGTTGTATTTTCCCTCTACCTATACACTAGTTTTAGTAATAGACGGTACATACATACAGTAGTTATAATATAAGGGATGAAATAAGAGTGAGTAAGAGAGTATAAGTATTCAAGTGTATAGGTGCCGTAATGCCGGCATGCAAATTATTATCGCCGTACGATAATTTAAATGCATATTTTAGCCCTACTATATCATTTTATTATTGCTTGAGCAGCTAAAGTTAAGTCAAGAGATACAGAATACCTTGATAATATATTTACGATAAAATTATGTGCCTAAATAACTTTTCATTCGATTTATTTTGATTCCAAAATATGCTTTTATTTAATTAATTACGTTTTTTTATCATTTTTCTAGCAAATACATCGAGTAGAGCTTACGGTTTGCTTCAGATTTAAATTTTGGGACGAAATTAACTTTTACTAGTTGAGAGTATCCTTCGTCTTTCTTCGGCTGGACGAAATTTTTGCTGTAATTTATTATTAATTATTTTATTAGTTATCGAATGATTATATTGTTCATATGTTGGTACTTACTAATAAGAATTGATAATGATGTCACTGACCACGGTATGATTTTTGTCGGTCAATTCACGAAACTGAAAATTAAAAATTGGGCAAAATTTAAAAACAAATTCCTGAAATAAACATTTATTTGTAATTCATATTTTTAAGTTTGTGTATTTTATACCAAAGTGTGTCTCAAATGATCCCGGATCATCCATAAATTACATCACACCTTAAATTAAAGGGGGGGGGGGGGTCAAAAGCTTTGTGACGTCACATATTAAAATTTAAAATACTAAATGCGAAACTTATATGTGAATAAAAAACTTTAAATATTCACGAACTCGATCTATATTTATTAATACTTTAGCTACATTGGAATAAATTTTCAATCCCTTGTCAAAATTACAACTATAAATTTCCCTAGTTCCCGTACAAAAATGGATTGATCAATAATTGATCACTGACTGATCAATTATGAGTCTTCCATAGATCAACGAGAGATAATTCAGAGATCGCTAAGTGATCACTCTATAGAAACAATACGGAAAAATGTCAGAAAATTATTTTTGCGACCTCTATTGATCAATTTTTGGTCGTAACATATTGATCACTTAATAATTGGCAATCAAGCTCTCTAGGGGTCATTCATCAATTACGTAAGGCTATTGAGGGGGTGAAGGGGTTAAAAAAATCTCTACATGTCCTTATGTTGGGGGGAAGGACGGTGAAATTAATTCTTACGTAATATTTCGTAAGTCAAAATTCAATATTAAAAATCTAATTCCATTTTGGATTCCAAATAGTTTTCATAATTTTAAAGTGTACAGTCGAATTTTTATTTTATTTAAATAATTTTTATTGCTATTGAAAAAAAAAATAACTTATTCAAATTTCATATGTTTTTATTGTTATCCATGTTTGGTTCTATAGAAAAAATTATAGTATATTTCTCCGTGTATTATTTAAAAAATAAAAAACATTTCTTGTTAAAAAACGTTATTACTTGTAATTGTAAAGATATTTTCATGACCTATTGTATATATAGAATGTTATTGCTCATGCCATTTTGGTCAGATTGACTAGTAGATATGATTCAAGCCCATAGATGGACGCTTTCATCTTTCCTTATTTTCGAAAGATATTCTTTCTTCCAATAAGTTCGATGGATATCCATCGAACTTGAATACTAGTAAAGCTAGAAGCTTGCGGTATCTGTTCTGATTGTAAAGGTGTTGATTAAGTGAAAGATAGTGAAAAAAAATTTGAATGAGAGCAAAGACAGACTTTGAAAAAATAAATGGGGTTGGTTTGCCAAGCCAGGAATCGAACCTGGATCTCCCTGATAACATGTCAGGAGCTCTACCATCGAACTTATTGGAAGAAAGAATATCTTTCGAAAATAAGGAAAGATGAAAGCGTCCATCTATGGGCTTGAATCATATCTACTAGTTATTACTTGTTAGAGAATAAAAATGATGGATCCACGCTGACCTGTAAGTTTTAGTGAAACTGATCCTTTTCTAACATAACAGTTTATTATTTAGAAGATCAAGGTAAAATCTTATATAAAAAAGGGAAGGGGGGTTCAAAAAATCTTGCATTTACTTACATGGGGGTCAAAAGTCACCAAAATTGTCTTTACGTAATTAATTAATGGCCCCTATAGCTTGTCGGATTCTCTGAGCAAAAATAAATCCCAGTTACAAAACTTGTACTTTTCCATCTTAGACACTTTGTTCTTAGCAATATTTATTTGTTAAAAATAGTATATTTTATTTTATTAGTTTTGAAATGTGAAAAACACATTTAAGGCACATTTGTGCAGCTAGAATAAGAAAGCCTGTATAGGCTTGATTTTATGACCTTAGGTACTTGACTTATACAAAGGACTCCTTATTTTACTATGTACAGTACAACCAAATATTACGGTATTAGTTAAAAAGAAAAACATGTGTTTTACTACGGACAATACAGAGGGTTAGACCTCACAATAAAATAGTTTTAACATTATAGTTAGTCTGCGACTAAACTCTGTCAAGGAACGACACTTTTCTCGATACGATTATTTTAAAATAAATATTCTATTTGAATCACTCTCTGTAGATAATAATATTGTATTTTCTCATTTATTCTATAACTTCCTACATAGCTAATTGCAAATTAAATTCTACTATGATTAATCATCAAATCACCATTTAGAAATAGAATTAAAATTAAAATTACAAAATTGCCTGATTTTGACGTGCTAAAAGTAAAGCACTATCTCAACCGCTTCAAGTCGGAAGACAAGCAACAAAATTAGCACGTGATCGGTTAGAAATTATCTAATGATTTAGTGACTTTGTAAGAAATTATCCAACGATCATTTAGAGATTATTTTTTATCGCTGAGAGATCATACGGTGATTGATCATTGATCACCTAAAGATCACTGGATGGTATATTCTTGATTACTAAGGGATCTACTATTGATCATGAGCTGATTGAACATTGATCACTGACAAGTTACCTATTAATCAAAGTGATCAGACATTAATTAGTTAGAGATCACTTCGTGATTAATTTAATAACACTTGGTGATCAATTAGTGATTCACTAAGAAATCATTTATTGGTCATTTAAAAATCAATTACCGATCAATAAAAGATTGTACAGTGATTTTTCTTCGAAGTGATAGTGAGTGACCTGGGATTAGTTTTGGCAAAAGATATACCTAAAAATTAGTTAGCATTAAAACTTCAAGAGATACAGTATCTTCCGTGTAAAAATGAAAAAATAAACGGCAGTGGGAATCAGTTTAATACAAAACTAATAATGTTACATTTTTTTTCCGTGACAATTATGAATTTATGGCGAAAGAATACATTACGGCTAATATTATTAATAATTGAGAGAAAAAAAAATTTGTCAGAAGTGGGATTCGAACCCACGCCCTCATAGAGGACCAGAAGCCTCAGATCCGCTTGGCGGAGAAGGTTTTAACCTTGAGTCTGGCGCCTTAGACCGCTCGGCCATCCTGACTGCAATTTTTTTATCTGTAATGGAGATATACAGGAAATTTGAAAGATCGTGCTTAAAAAAATGTCTTGGAAGATATAGATCACCTGAATCCAATTACCTCAAATACCTGAGTAATAAAGAAGTATATAATTTAGCAAACATACCAAGATTCAATAATTTCTGCCTAACACTAACCAGAAATTATTTTAGTACAATCTATGAAATTGACAATGACATAATTAAAAATCTAAAAATTGAAAATATTGAACTTATAAAAAGAATGACAAAAAGTAATTATTCTCCTCCTGAGATCTTCACCAATCTTGACCGAAAGGGATGTATACAAGACGGGAACAACGTGCCAATAATTTACCACATCAAAAGACACTGCGCCAAGAAAGCAATTTTTACGGAGTTGGATAAAATTCCAGCTGAATCCATGGTATACTCGAAGGCTCTCCCTGATAGAGACGAGAACAGCCTGGAAAGGTTATCAGAAAAATATTGGTGGCTTCAGGGCGAAGCCAAACATCTGGACGAGATACGTAGAAGAGCCAGGCACAAACAACAACAAACTCAACGACGACAAAGAGACAGATGTCAAGCAAGACGACGACACATACATCGTCAATAACCTTTTCTGTAACACAGATTTTTTGTAAATATTGTATATATATGTAAATATCCCTATACCATTCCCTTTACCCTTTCTCCTTTACTTCCCACCCTTACTTTAAGCCTCAAAAGGCCAGTAATTGTTGCAATTGGTTTTTTTTTCACATTTTTGATTTTTCACCAATGCTTAGCATATTATTATTTATTATTTAGTTGAAAAACTTCAAATTGTTAAGTTTAATTAATATTATTAAGAAAATACTTCTACTTTCAGTTCCTGTTTATGACCAAGATTGTGGGACAGAGATAGCTGAGTAGGGCTAGAAGATGGGACAAGAAGGGAAGAGACAGCGGCTACCGACGCGCCGGTCCGATTTTTCTGTTATATTTTAAATTGATTTAATTCTGTTCATTTGTTTAAAAACAATGCGTTTAGTATTATTATTAATTACTATTATTGTTGCGAGTATTATTAATGTAACTATGTATATATTGTGTTCAATTTCAAAGTTTGATTAATTACTTAAGTATTATTAGAAACGATTATTTTGTTAAATTAAAAGTATACAGTATTTTGGTTATATTATAATTATAATTAATAATTTCTGTAAGTTTAAATAATTTTAAAAGAAAGAAAATGTTTATTTAGTTAATAATATTAGTGTTACCGAAGGTGAGAATTTATTTTGAAGCCGAGCGAATTAAGCGTGCAAAAGAAAATCATTATAAAAGAATTTAAAAGAATGGGAAATTATTCTAAGTCCCAAGCCGATTTAGTATGGGAACTCGGCGAATGGATATATAATGAAAGAATTTGCAATTAAAATAATAAAGAATTGTGATTTTGTCGAAACGAATGGATATATAATGAGAGAAATGACGATTATTATTTTAAAGAAGTGGGACTTGGAAATAAAAACTTAGAATTTGGCGAGACGAATGGATAGAGAATGAGCGAAATTGCGATTAAAATAATAAATAATTAAAGGACGATTTTTCGGTATAAACACCACTGTCACCAGGCCGTTAACGGAGATAGCACCATGTGAAGTAAAACTACATATAAGAGCTTGAGACATTGACCTACAAACTTGTAGTCGAAGAGTAATTAAATTAAAGAATAGTTTTTGGACAAAATTAACCGGAATTAACGCATGGTTATACACGACCCGAGAAATGGAAACCATAGTTATGAAATGCGAAACAAACAAATCATTAGAATTAGGTGTAGAAGGAACGGGGGTAATATAGATGGCCCCCGGGTGCGAGGGAATGTCTAAAGAGAAAAGATTCATTACTACGCCGAAGATGCAACCTATTATGAAGATTTCCGGAGGAATTCTGTCCTGGCTAATCATAAATCATGAAATTGAAACATATGCGGAGGAAAATCAAGTAAAATTATCCCAAATTTTGGAAGAGTTATCCGAGGAAGAGGATTATCCACACAGACAAAACGAAGATAGTATTAGTTTTCGATAAATTAAAAGCACAATTAATAAAAAGGTTCCGAACCGGAAAATTCACACAGCATAATATGGAATACAAAACCCGATAGTATTGTTTTTTGTAAAGAGCATCATATGATGACAATACAAAAATTAAAAATTATATTAGCGAATAAGTTATTATAAGGATATTATTACTTAAAAAATGTATAAGAGAATATTTATAAAATAAAGTCCTTTTTTAAAACCAAAAAAAACCAAAAAACCAAAAAACTGCAATTTTTTTGCAAATGAAGGACAAATTTAAATAACAGCAAAACCTACTTTAGAAATCATGTTAATTAGAAAAAAAAACTCTCTTTACGACATTTTATAGACAAATTAACCGATTTTGACGTGGCCTGAGGCAACCGACGTTGTTTTTTGAGGTTAAGAACTGATCAGATTTGGTATCAGTCAGTAGAACAGTTGAAAATTTGACAAAAAGTAATTTTAAAACAAACAACTTACCTTATTATTGTGCTTAGCATGTTCAGGAGTAGTGGTCATAATGAAGCATCTTATAGGAACCTTCTTATTGACTGCAGCATCAATAAATCTCTTTCTAGAAGCTACATCAGGATTAGTGTTATCAATGACAACACTCTTTCCATCATTTAATGATTTTTCCATCAACGCAATACATTTTTGCCAGCTCCCGAGCTTGTCTCGATTGACGTGGACATATGATTTAAGATAATTCTCAACTACGAATGATTTCCCGCTTCCTGGCCCACCTACCATCAAAATAACCTTAAAAGAAAAAAAAAACAGTCGATTCAAATGAATTATATTTTGTGGCTAAATAATGAATTTACTTCTAGTCCAGATGACGAATCAAGAGCGTCCGAAGGTTGAAAAACAGACTGATTTATTGGCTGCCTAGGATCGAATTTAGGCATATCAAATTTGGCTTTTCCATATCCAAGAAAATGCTCTTCAGGAGTCTGAAATTTTAGTCCAAGGTTGATCGCAAACAGACGATCAGCGGATGAATGATCTTTTTTAGCTTTCAGCATCCAATTTTTGGGACGTCCTGCAGCATCTCCCACAAAGAAACTCGTAGAGTAATCTATTTCAACGCCATCATTTTCATGTTCTGCCAAGTGTTGCCACATTCCTATCAACGGTTTTCGATTTAAGTCTCTTGAACCCGATACAAAAACCTTAAACAGTTTCGATAAATCGGCTTAATTTTTTATTTTAATACTTAAGTAACTTGAGAAAGTTTGTTAAATTCAAGTACGCATGCCTTTAGCGTTCACGACGTGGCACAATTATTCAAATTAACGCAAATTTATTCTATTTTTAAAAACCTATCGGAATAAAAATGATCTACCATGCATTGCAAAAACACGAATAATAAAAAATATTTTCACTGATTTTACGTTTGATTAAAACTTTCCGCGAATAAGAATTATCTTGCGATTTAAATACTTCGAAGTAAAAAATTTTGATCAATTAATTGTGTTTTTCAACACAATTTTTTATAGTATTTATAATATTTTATCCAGTTACGAGCTGATTAGAATTGAAGCGATCGATAAAACAGTTCAAAAGTTACATTAAGAAAAACATGATTTCAACAACTTTTTTTTAGAATTTCTCAAAATTATCGCGCCGAATTGATTCCAATTTTTAAGCAATTGAAGTCCAATGGGACCCTTTCGAATACCGTATATTACGATTTGATCAGTCAAGGGGTTCAAAAGTTCTAAAAGTGGTTTGTACACACTTAAACACACAGAATAACTTCCGACAATTTTAAAACGCGAAGATCTATGGAAAACTTGATTTCCAAAGATCGGGGTGAAACCAAGAAGTTCCCGATTTTTTGAAAATCATTAACTTTCATAGCAGCAAGTTAATAAAATTTCACAACACGGGCACAACACGGTGACAAGCTTATATGGGTAACCGGGCTCAAAATATCCTCGGACAAAATATCCTTAAGACAAAAAATCCACTGGATAAAATATCCATGGATAAAAAATCCGTGGACAAAATATTCTTAAGTTCAATAACATTTTTAATTTAATAATAATATTTTTAATATTAAAAATGTGTTAAATTGACCCTCAATTATTTATTAAAAATCTGTTAATGTCGAAAAAACACACCCCAAAAACCATGTTAAAAGGGCGCACATGATTACCCGCGTTTGTGTTGGTCTTATGTCGAATAAACACACACAAAAACCATGTTAAAAGGGCGCAACACGATTACCAGCGTTTGTTTCGTATCTGCAGTACGTAAAAAGGGCATAGCCGGATTAATTCTGAAATTCTGCCCCCATGGCTTTTTTGACTTATACTTAGGGGGTCGATTTGATATCGAATGAAAATAATTCACATTAATTTTTAGCTGTTTTAAACCTGTTTTTTCAAAATTATTTTTATTCTTAATTTTGCCATGGGAGCAGAATTTCCATATTAATCCGGCTGTTCCCTTTATTAGCATTTGATTTGTCTATTTTTGTATAATATTTTGTCCACGGATTTTTTATCCATGGATATTTTATCCGGCGGATTTTATGTCCTAAGGATATTTTGTCCAGGATATTTTGTCCGCGGATATAGAGTCATAGAACCCTTATGTGTTGCCCTATTTTTAGATAAACACACACAAAATCCATGATAAAAGGGCACAACACGGTAACAAGCTTATGTGTTACCGTATTTTATAAAATATTAAGTTTGTTCGGTATTGATTGTCTCATAAATTCTTGTGATATTTTGTTTATTAATATTTGGGTGCAGTGATATTTTGTCTGGGAATATTTTGTCGGAGATATCTTGTCCGGGAATATTACCGCACGTAACACCATACATGCGTCTTTCAAAAAAATTTGCATAAAATTACGGTAGAATTGTAAAGCATTTCCATACATTCACACTAATGACGTACAAAGATTTTGAACTCTTATCAAAAACTCACCTGCAATGGAAGATCCAATTTCTCCGTAATCGCTTCGATCTTTCGTTTAAATTCCGTGATATTAGTTTTTCCGCTTTCAATACCATTCTGGTTCGTAAAAACAACAATTTTGTACCCTTTTTCCATCAGCTCTTTTAGTTTTTTTGATATATTCGGGTACAAAATTTTCCAATCACTCTCATTCTGCGGGAAAACATACCCCGACTTTGTTGTGATCAGCGTATTATCCAGATCATAACCTGCGATTTTGGATTTAGCTTTACAATTTGAACTTGTCATGATGAAGAGGCTTCCATTAATTGTCTGCCATTTGTACTTAGAATTCTGAGAGACTTCAGTTGATGCATTTGAAGAAGCTTTAGAAATGTTGCCATCATCTTTTCGCGAACTGTTAGCACTGCTATCACTAACATTAGAATTTTTCATTTTTTTTCGGTCCAAAATGAAATCATCGTCACTGTCGCTGTCAAAACTACGTTTTTGACGAGCGGATGCTTTTTTTTCATTGGTGCTTTCAGCAGGTTGATTAGAATTTGTTAAAGTATCATACGATGGTGGTGGAATGAACTCAAATTTATGAGGATATGATCCGTAGAGCAATTCTAAAGTATCACCATGCTTAGCTGTATATTTTTGATTTTTTTGTGTCTTAACGCCATTTAATCCGGATGGCTTTTTGCCTAATTGTTCCACAATTATACTCTTTTCATCGTAATGTGCTGATAAGCGGACTATAATTGATAAAATTAATGATATTATTAGCTTATTGATCATCGTATAAAGATAAAATATTTTATAATGAATTAATAATGTTCACTGTACTAAATATTTTTTAAATAGAAATTTTAATTTTTTTTTAATAGGTAAATTTTTTGTACTGTTAATAAGGAAATTTGATCATAGAAATTGACTTTTTCCAAATTTATATCGCAAGTTCACGTTTTTCACAAATCAACTAACACTTTTACACGGATATTTTTTAAGACAGCAAGAGACATCATAATTCTACAGCATCAAGCGTGATAACTTATTCGATTCTTCCCAATAACACTATTTTTTTTTTTTTACTTTCTATTCCATATTTTTAATCACTGTTATTGAAAATATGTCTATTTTTTCTGCGTCGTTGGGCGATTATCGACATATAGATAAACGTGTCTATCAATAGTAGCTATATATATATATATATA